AAGGGGAAGGTCATGAGGTTGCGGGTTCCTTGCCCGGGCGTGTTAAGCGAGCTGGGTAGAGGAGATTAGAAATGAAAAAAAGAATCGGAAAGCCGCACGCACTGGTTGATGTCGAAGAGGAATCCCCCAGACTCGAAGAGCATGAGGCTGAGGATTGCGGCCTTTTCGCCGTTGGTGTCGATGCCAAAGTCGGCAAAGGCCTGGTTGACGAAGGGCGCCGCCTGCTCAGCCGTGCGGCACTCGGCAGGGAACTGCGTGGCCGTCGCGCAGTCAGGCGACGCGCCCATCTGGATGAGCTCCGCCGCGGTTATCGGAGACGTGGCGCGCCGCAAGTTGCGCACAGGGACGGCGTTCACCAGGGGGTGGGACGCCAAAAGAATGGACGCGACGGATGCGACTTTAAGGAAGAACATTGGGGCAGGTGAAATGGTTAAAAGGGAGACTAGCTCGAAAGAAAAGGAGGTTTGAGTAAGTGGTGGGTGGGTGGAGGTGGGTGGGGAGTTCAGAAACGCCATCAACCCTAGGATTATATAGGCGCCACGACAAGCGCCGGAGGCGGTAGATCCGGCGAGGCGACACTGCATTGATCAACACACGGTTCCACGGATGTTTCAACGGGAAAAATGGCCATTTGTGGCATGTAGTCATCGCGTCTGCATACTTGGGCAAAGACATTCCTCAGATTTCGTGGTCAAGTATGCTGAGACGTGTCGTGCTTTAGATCCCAGTGAATGCGCATCAAGCTCAAGGCCAGGAACTGGATTCAAATTCGGCGAAACCGCCGACCGGGGACGAAAGGCGGTCCGTCTAAGTTTAGCCGAGTACTAGTTTCATGTGTATTTTTGGATGCAGGACATGAATGCACGCCCGGTTGTAGTAGGCAAGAATAATAGGCAGCTGTAACGTGGATCTTCAGATGGCTGAGAGAGCAAGTGGACTGCCCTTGATCCCGCCTGATGTGGCAGTGCGCATTCGGTGATCCGCCTGATGAATAGGATCAATGATAGTATCAGTCGCTTCGGCCGACGCGCGCCTAATAGTGGAAGTGGGCGGTTTAATCTGGTCTCTCAGTTTTAATTCTAGCTCGTACCTCGCAAGTTTTCTACGCATGAATTCCTTTCTAATCCTTCTGCAAGTTGTTGAATGTTCAGAGTTCCACAATCGAATCGATCGATAAGCTATTGTCCATCGAACACCGCAGTTCAACATTTCGCTTTCCCAGACGCCTCTGGCCGCTTCTCGATCTCGTCCAAACACGCCTGGAATTCCTCCCAATCTGCCATAATCGGGTCAGCTCCCGCCTCCTTCAACACCCCGCGCATCTCCTCCTGCTTCAGCGGCTCATAGCTCCCCACATACCCTACCGTATGGATCCCCGCCCTCACAGCACTCAGCGTTCCGCTCTTGCTGTCCTCAATCGCCACGCACTCCCCGGGCCGCTTCCCCATGACCTCGCACGCATGTAGGTAGATCGCCGGGTCCGGCTTGCTCGTTGGCGTCGGCAGGCTCGTCGCCGCGCTGAATATGCGGTCGCGCGCAAAATACTTGTCCTGTCCCACCTTGTCCACGCTCACCTCGACGCGGCGCTTCGCGCTCGAGCTCACCACCGCCATCGCGTACTGGCGCGGGTCCGCCGCGAGGCGCGCGAGCTGCGCGTCGACGCCCTCGCACGGGCGCAGCGCCGCGCGCAGCTTCGCGATGACCGCGTCCTCCTCGCGCGTGACGTATGCAGTGAACTCCGCGGGCGGGAGCGTGAAGGAAAACTTCGTTTGGAGGGAGGACATCATGCCGCGGAAGTTCTGCCCGACGAACTCGATAAAGAGCTGGTGGCCGGTGTAGCGGTCGGGGATGCCCTGCGAGGCGAGGATTTCGTTGGCGAGCTCGGCGCAGGCCTCGAAGGCGAGGACTTCGGAGAGGACGAGCGTGTTGTCGCAGTCGAAAAGGAGTGCGGTGATCTATTGGGTGTGGTGAACAGCGGCGCGATGGCGCGATGGCGCGGAGACGGTACCTTGGGCATCGTCGAAAGGACGTCTAAGTAGTCTATAATCTAAAGGTAGAGAGTGGTGGTAGGAGAAAAGAGGCGAAGTTGTGTGACGTCACTGGCTCTCGCTGTCAGTGGCTGTCCACTCTGCGTTGAACTTTGTTAAATAATCTAAAAGTATGAGTGCGAGAATACAACGAGTGACCAAATACAACAAATGAGCCCCCTAAAACGAAATAAACTCATTCAAACCGCCTGAACACTCCGAGCTCGCCGCTGCTCCCCTCTCTTCAAATTCAACACCATCCACCACGGTGAAACCGCCCGCCCGCGCTTGGGTCGAGTAGACTCAGGCCTGGTCGCCTCTGATCCCGACGAGTCGTACCCGCGTTCGGAGTCATACCCGTTCTGAAGTAACCCAAGATCGAAGTGTGCAGCTTCATCATCAACTTCAACATCCTTAACCTCCCCTCGCTGCACGCCCGCCACCCGCTCCAGTACGTTCGACATATCGTCCGCGTCGAGCTGCGCACAGACCATGTAGTCCGCGAGCGCGTGCAGCGCGCGGTGCTGCCGGCGCTCCAGCTTCAGCACGGATTTGCTTTTGCTTTTACTCCTGCATTTGCTTTTGCTTCTCTTGTTTTGGGCGGGAGCAGCGAAAGTGGTTGAAGTGAGGCGTAGGAGAAGGAGGAGGAGGTGCCGCAGCATGACGCCGAGGTCGTGCATTATCAGCGTTGTTGTCTCGTGCGCCTCGTGTGGGTCACATCCGACGCGGAAGTCAAGCAGACACGGTGGCGGATATTTCGTGGGGGCGGCGGGCTCTTCGACGAGGATTGCGTACAGCCGCCTAGCAAACAATTAGTTAGGTCCGTCAATCGCGATTCAAGGCGCACTTGTTAGCCAAATCTTCCCGGTCATCTTTCATATGAGTTTGGACGCTCTGAATTCAGGTATGTCAGCCTCAGAGCTAGAATATCTATATACCGACAAGACGAGAAAACGCACCTCGAATATCCTCTTCACAAACTCGAGCAGCTCGCCCATATTTCTGAACGGCAGGTCCGAACCAGCACTCAGCAGAGCTTCACCACCGATGTCGTCGCACAGCGTCGACTCGGAATCGGACGTGTACGTCGAGCTCCTGGACAAGGTCGTGTGCGTCGAGCTCCCGGACGAGGAGTCGGAGCGATTAAACATCTCCCGAGACAGCTTCGGATTGAAATCCACATCATCTACATCCCGGTCCGCTGTCTTGTCCCAAAACTCCTCATTCCGCCACACGGTCCGATATGCACCGGGCTGGGGGAGGTGATTCACATTCGCGCTCTGGTTCTGGTTTCGCGGGTAGGCGCGCTCGAGGGTGGGGAGGCAGTCCATTCCGGGCCAGCGGGTGTCGCGGGATTTAGTAGGGAGGGGGAGAAGATTCGAGGGAAAGGATGGTAGTCGCGGGAAAGAAAGAAAGAAAGAATAAAGAATAAACGAGGAATGAGAAATGAATGAAGGAAAGTGGGTGCGCTGGTAGAAAGCAAGATGAAAGGAAGGAAGAAAGATGGTGATTCTGAATTGTCGTTGTATGTATGATGAGCCTAGGGCGCTAGGCGTTCCGTTCCGATTCTTGTTTTGTGTTTCGTATAGCCTCCTCCGGCCCAGGGACGAAGTGTGTGGGTGATAGATATACTGATGCAGCGACCAGGCTTGGCTTATTACGGGTGGGTATTTGGGGATGGCAGCTGGCTTATTCAGGTGGGTATTCGGTGCCGGGGTGGATATTCGGGGATTGACGGATGGCGGGGATCTGGGAATTGACCGAACCTGGGGAATTGAGCGAGGGGGATTGTTTTATTGGCAAGGCGCCTTTTATATGTAGCGGCGTTGCACGATGCGTGGCGAATGTTGTTCTGGGCGAGTGGCCACAGCCCACGTATCCTGCCTGCATCAGCGTGCGTTGTGGCCACCCTGCGCTGTGGCCACTCGGTCGATATCCGAGGGCGGGCCGAGATTAGACACACGCCTTTTGTCAGCGTGAAAGTTAAGCCGGTATCCCAGAACAAAGAATCGAAGTTTCGAACACCTCCCAGCCTAAGCCGCATTAGTAGGTCGAAATCCGCCGAGATATCATGATTCATGATATCGGCACCACAAGAGCGACAACGGGTTCGCAGCATTGACCAGCTGCGGAATCTCGGCACCTAATAGTGCGTGGAACGTGGACGGCATTGGGCTCAATGAACGCAACTCGATGCTCGCGAGTCGTGTTTGCGTCCTGCAAGCTAGACGTCGTGACTGCTCCGAAAACGTGGCATCCACGGCGTCGGTCATCGCGGCCCCGGGCTGGCTTGCACATAGCTGCTGTATATGCTAACGTACCGCAGTCGTACACCCGAGCCCGAAACCAGATTTTGGTAGCTATCCACAAGGGTTGGATGAACGCGGTTTAAGAGGAAGATGATCGAACTTTTGATCGGCTGTCACGGTGATCAGTGATGACAGCACCAAATACGCTTGGACACTATTGTTCAACTTCGCGGTGGGCTTATAGCCTCACGCACATGAACGAAAAATAAACTGCGATAAAGCCCAATTATTCAGAAAGTTTTGGATAGATAGGTTCAGGAATCAGAATCATCAATCGATCGGGAAAAAGAAAATGATGGTCCAGCCTTGAGTCGAACGAGGATATTCAGAGTACCTCTGTCCCCAAGAACAAGTGTATTCTGATACATTAACCATTATGCTACTGGACCAACACTAGCTTGATTCTTCTAAAACATTAGTCTCACCTTCATTATTTCCTGAAAGCGGGTTGAATTAAAAAAACAACGTGAAAAAAAAAAGACACCGGTCCAGCCCTGAGTCAAACAAAGGCTCTTCAGAGGTGAGAAGCCTCTGACGCATTACCACTATACTACTGGATCTTGCCTGCATAGTTTGCCTACACGGTTCAAAACGTCAATGATGTTGCCACTATTTGAATCCGGTGGCCAACCGGTGGCTGAAATAAAATGTGATAAAAAAAGAGTGGTCCAGCCTTGACTTGAACAAGGATAGTTAGAAGAAGCTCAGTCTTGACCATCCAATTCTGATGCATTAACCACTATGCTACTGGACCGACATCCTCCCTCATTAACAATTAATCATATTGCGATTATTTCGTGGTTGAACCCATGCCTTGAACCAAAAATACACGCAAAAGACGTGTACAGTCCAGTCCTGAGTCAAACAAGGGCTCTTCGGAGGTCATAAACCTCGACATTAACGCTATGCTACCGGACCTTACCTGCATAGTTTGAAATGCAGCCACATTTGTGTTATTGCGGGTGCTAGAATGTTGGAATGAAATGCAAAAAAAATGATGGTCCAACCTTGAATTGAACAAGGGTCAACCAAGAATATAAGTGGTCTCAAAGAGAAGCATATTATCATCATTGACCATTATACTACTGGACCCACACCAACCCAGCTAAAACATCAGTGATGCTGCCTTTATTTTCAACTTATTTCTGGTTGAACCAGGGGCCATGGTGAAACAAATAAAAAGACCTGAGCCTTGACACATTCCTGCTATGCGACCACACCTTGTCCAAAATATTACCAGATTGCCACTATTTGAATCTGGTGGTTGGAATAAAATGCAAAAAAAGGAGTGGTCCAGCCTTGAATTGAACAAGAGTACTCAGAGTAGCTCTACTTCGAGGAATACTTACTCAACTCTGATGCATTAACCACTATGCTACCAGACCATACCTACATGGTTCAAAAACATTAGCTATGTTACCGTTATTAATAGTTCCCGAAAGCGGAGATCAAAGTAAAAATAAAACGGATAAAAAAAGGATGATTCAGCCTTGAGTTGAACAAAGGTAGTCAGAATAATCATGTTGGAAAGAATGAACAGTATATGCTGGTGCATTAACCATTATGCTACTGAACCAATACAAGTTTGGCTAAAACATCAGCCTCACCTCCATTATTTTCCGAAAATAAGGATTGGGAACAAAATGTAGGAGAAAAAGAGTGGTCCAACTTTGACTTGAACAAGGGTAGTCAGAACAATTTCCATCTTCGGGCACATTAAATTCTGATGCATTAACCACTATGCTACTGAACCAATGTCTTGCCTCATTAACTATCAACCATATTGCGATTATTTTGTGGTTGAACCCATGCCAACCAAAATACAACGCAGAAAGACACTGGTCCCTGTCCAACCTTGAGTCACACAAGGGCTCTGCGGAGGTCATAGGCCTCGACATTAACACTACGCTGCCGGGCCTTGCCTGAATAGTTTGGAATGCAATCACATTCCCGTTATTGCGGGTGCTGGAATGTTGGAATGAAATGCAAAAAGAACCAATGGTCCAGCCTTGAGTCAAACAAGGGTGCTCAGTATGAAGCCCATGTGTGGTCATAATATAATACCCTGATGCATTAACCACTATGCTACTGGACCAATACCTCATCTTATAAAACAGTAATCATGTTGTCGTTATTATAATTTTTAATCTCCGCTTGAACCGAAACAACGCAGACACAAATAATAATAAAAGAGACACCGGTCCAGCCCTGAGCTGAACAAGGGCACTTCGGAGGTTATGAGCCTTGGGTACATTACTACTATGTTACCAAACCCCAGTCTACACACTTTAAATGTCAACCGTGTTACCGGTATTTCGAATGCGGGCAATGTAAAAAAAAAATGATGGTCCAGCCTTGAGTTGAACAAGGGTACTCAGTTTGAAAACAGAGAAGCACGTGTTGTACAACACTGATGCATCAGCCAATATGCTACTGGACCGATATTTTACCCTATAAACCAGTAGTCAAGTTGTCATAAAGTTATTTTAATTTTAAATCTCCGTTTGAACCGAATCAGAAAAAAAAAGAGATACCGGTCCAGAACAAGGGATCTTCGGAGGTTATGAGCCTTCAGCACATTACCCTCCACAGTTCAAGATGCTCCCCACATTACCGGTATTAATATTCCCTCAATGCCGGGGTCACAAAAAAAAAATGCGGTCGGAAAAAAAAGAAGCTTTTAAAGGGACATGGTCCAGCCTTGAATTGAACAAGGGTAGTCAGGAACAACGAGCCTCTATGACATGTATTGCTGATGCATTACCATTATGCTACTAGACCAACACCCACATCCTTAAAACATTAGCCATACTCCCCTCTCTGCTCAAACCGACGCAAGCAACCAATTTTTTTTTTTTAAGCCGCAAAAAAACCACCCATCGGTCCAGCCCCGAGTCGAACAAGGGCTCTTCGAGGGCATGAACCTCGACACATTAACCGCTATGCTACCAGACCTTGCAAAACATTCCATTACTGTATTCCTCGAAAGCCGACGGGGTTGAAATATTAATAAAAATGCGATAAAACATCAAAAATATGAGCAATGTACTGAACGGTCCAGCCTTGAATCGAACAAGGGATCTTCAGGAGAATTCTTAGCGAACATGGAACATCATCCTGACGCATTACCACTATGCTATTGGACCTTCCTTTTTGGAGTGAACTCGTACTAGAAGAGGTCTAAGCGGGCGCAATTTAATTTAAAAGAAACGAGACGAGACGGGAAGGGAAAACTATTCTAATGCTATTCTTCCAGAGCGGGATGGATAACGCAACACCGAACGGGAAGAGTATGTCGAGTCATCCGTTGATCCTGAACTATCATCTCTCACGCCTACAAGCCACAACAGGACAAGGAAGAGAATCACGGCAAAGGAAGGATGAATGGATGATGAATTTTTGTGTGTGTGCTCGTGCAACGCAAAGGAACAAGTAGCTGGCATAATTAAGATGTACGCATGAGTGCATGGGTGCTGCTCGCCTATCGCATACGCATTCGCCTACTCCGCACACTCGCCTGACCGCGCACGCGCCTACTCCCATCCACCAGCTCCCGTGGCGGGCGTCTCTGCGCCCCACCCACCGGCAGCAGCCGTGGGCTCGGCGGCCCAGTCGGACGACGCGCCGCCGGGGCCGGCGGGGTCTGCGGCCCAGTCGAGGGCGCCTGCAGTAAAAAAAATGAGTAATGGAACTGAGTAAGTCGGAAGGAACACGTACCACCATCGCTGACAAGCCCGGGGTTGATGCTGCCGGCCTGGGGCCCGCTGCCGACGTCCCACTCGGTCTGGGGGGCCGCTGCGTCGTCCGCGCCCTGGAGCAACGCGGCCTTTGCGTCCGCCTCCTCCTTCTGCTGCTTCTCGACCTCCTCGGGGTCGCGGTAGAAGAACATGTCGACCATGACGTTCCAGCCGTCGCTCGTGCGCGGGATTGTACCGCGCAGCCTGAGGACCTCGCGGGCGAGGAGCCACCAGATGAGACCGATGCTGTGGCGGGTCTTGTTGTTGGTCGGGATGGCGACGTCGACGAACTTGAGGGGCGCGTCGGTGTCGCAGAGGGCGATGACGGGGATGTTGACGTAGGACGCCTCGCGGATGGCCTGGTGGTCGACGCGCGGGTCGGTCACGATGATGAGGCGCGGCTCCTTGAACGAGCGCGTGATGTAGTTGGTGAACGAACCGGGCGTGAACCGGCCGGCGATCGCCTGTGCGCCGGTGTTGGCCGCGTACTTGAGCACGGCGCGGTGGCCGTACGGCCGGGCGGAGATGACGCAGACGTCGTTGGGGTTCTCGACGGCGGCGATGATGCGCGCGGCGAACACGAGCTTCTCCCATGTCTTGCCAATGTTGAGGATGTGGATTCCTGGAGGGAGGCTGTCGTCAGTATTACGCCCCAGTATGTGCTGTGCCCCCACCCACCGTCAGGACGTCTCTTCCACACATACGGCTCCATCTGCTTGTCGCAGTTTTTGGTGCCAATGTGGCATTCCGCGGCGAGCAGGAGCTGGATCTCCTCCTCGGTCGCGCTGAGCACGGCGGGCAGTTTAGAGGCCATATTGCTGAAACAACAAAAAAAAAGTCAGTCAGCATCATCCAATCTCGTCCGCCCGCATCCAGCCCAAAACAGACGGGTTCCGCCCCGTTCTTGCGCAGCGACGCAGCCAGCCAGCCAGAGACACGCACCGTCAACCTGCAGGGGCTGAGTCTGTAATTGGGCGACGCGGAGTCGGTTTTTGGGGAGGAGAGAGCGAATGTGGTGTCGACTAGCCAAGCCTGTGCAAATACTGTCAAAACACGTGTATATTTCATTATCTTTATGTCATTTATTTCCGTTTCGGTTAAGTTCCTGTCTCTGACATCGCCTGTATCGTCTCCGTCGCGATCTGCCTCGATCTCGGCCCGCTCTCGGGAGTAATACCAAGCGTCCGATGCCTTTGATTTGGCGCCGTGCATCCAGTCAAAGCCGAGCAGATAATATATCCTGCACGCGCTCTCCGCCCCGCTGCGGCGTCCAAGTCATGCCGTACATACTCTGACTTCAGCCCGCCGCTACGCATTGTCATTATAACGGACTCGAACCCCGCTTCCCACCGCACTTGTTTGCTCTGAGTCGCGCCGCTGTTCCCTCGCCGCGCCACTCTCGCCGCAGCGCATCATCGATATCCACCTCCGGCGGCGCGCCCGGAACTGTGCCCGCGAACAACATCCCGGTCGGCGTCGCGCTGCAAATTACAATATCATTCTAGTCCAATCAATTCCGGGACGTCCGCCACAAATTCACAGCGCACGGTTCAGTTCGATGCGTGTGTGCCAGGTCAGTCAACAGACGGCACAACTTCCCAGCCTCCGACCAACGTTACTCCGCCGGGGATCCACATTCCCGTACCAGCGCACCATCACAAGTACATACACCTTCGTTCTTTTCCGTTCGCTCGTTCACATATATCTGTATGCCATGTGCGCAATGAAGATTGATTCTCCGCATCATACTTCGTCTGCCGGTTGAAGGGGACGAATAGAATACCTCGCTTGAAGACTGCTGATTTAAAGCGATGAATAGAATGAATCGCGTGCGGCAAGTTCAAGTGTTCACTTCCTACTGAGCCCCAATTAAACAAACCATACCGTACAGACACCGACACGTTTTTTGCTGCTAATGGTTCAGTAGCATAGTGGTAATGCATCAGAATGGAATCTGGTAGGCGTAGTAGATGTATTCTGAGCACCCTTGTTCGACTCAAGGCTGGACCATACCTTCCTCTTCAAGTTTTTTTACTTTCTCACCACTGTATCTTTTCCCACCAGGAAATACGACACATTAAGCTTTTAGAATCCCGTTGTGCATGGTTTAGTAGCATAGTGGTTAATGCACCAGGATAAATTATTGTGTTAACGTCCCAGTTATTCTGACTACTCTTGTTCGACTCAAGGCTGGACCATTCTTTTGCTACCATATTTTTATTTTCCTCGCCGGGAGGAAGCACAAAATCAACCTTTGAATTCATGTTAATGCAGCGGAATTTATTACATCAACCGTGAATTGTATTCTGAGTTGCCTTGTTCGAATCAAGGCTGGACCATTCTAGTAACCTACGGATTTTTTTTTTCTTACTGCACTTGTTTTATTTTATCGGGCCGACACAAGCTATAAAGTGTCCGGAATTCTGTTGCAGATGGTCCAGTAGCATAGTGGTTAATGCACCAGAATAAATTCAAAGGTATTCCATGAACAGTTATTCTGAGCACCCTTGTTCGACTCAAGGCTGGACCATTTGTCAGATCCATAATCTTTTTCTCACAGCTGCACTTGTTTTATTTTGTCGGGCCGCCACATTCTATAAAGCGTGCGGAATCCTGCTGCACATGGTCCAGTAGCATAGTGGTTAATGCAGCAAAATTCATTAGTCAACCACAAATTGTATTCTGAGTAGGAATCAAGGCTGGACCATGCCCAGTATTTGGTATTTTTTCTCACAGCTGCACTTGTTTTATTTTGCCGGGCCACTACATTCTATAAAGCGTCCGGAATCTTTCTCAACATCGTCCAGTAGCATAGTGATTAATGCACCCGAATGAATTAGTTGGTTATCCTCCTAGTTATTCTGACTATCCTTGTTCAACTCAAGGCTGGACCATTCGCTTTGATTTTGCCTTTTTTATTTTCCTCACCGGGAGGAAGCACAAAACCAACCTTCTAATTGATGTTGAACATGGTCCGGCAGCATAGTGGTTAACGCATCAGAACTAATTCACGTAGTAACATCATTGTTCTGAGCACCTTTGTTCAACTCAAGGCTGGATCAATCATTTTTGTTTTTGTTTTATTTTTGAGCGGCGGAAGTTGGTACAACATGATAGTTCATCTTGATTTACTTCGAAAGTGGTCCAGTAGCATAGTGGTTAATGTATGAGAACTCACTCACATTGAAGTGGTAAAGTTATTATTCTGAGCACCCTTGTTCAACTCAAGGCTGGACCATTCTCTCTTTTCATCAAACTTTTTCTATTTTCTCACCGTCGCACTTTATCACCGGGAGGAAAAACAAGGCTGACTAACACGTCCAGAATTCTGTTGAATACGGTCCAGTAGCACAGTGGTTAATGCATCAGAATATTGTATGTCTTCCTAGTTTGGGTTATTCTGAGAACCCTTGTTCAATTCAAGGCTGGACCAATTGTTTTTGTTTTTGTTTTATTTTTTCTGAGCAACGGAAGTTGAATCATACCACATGGGTCATTTGAATCTGTGTTGGAAGTTGGAAGAGGTAGTGGTTATGCATCGAAATTCACTGATCCACATACCAAAAGTGAATATTCTGAGCTCCCTTGTTTGGCTCAAGGCTGGACCATTTCTCTCGTCCTCAAACTTTTTTATTTCCCTCGCCAGGAGGAAGCATAAAGTCAGCCTTTAAATTCACATTGAACAGGGTCCAGTAGCATAATGGTAATGCGTTGGATTTGGTTCGTTTGCAAGACGGCATTCTGAATGACCCTTGTTCGACTCAAGGCTGGACCATTGTCCTTCATCAAACTTTTTATTATTTTCTCACGGAAGCACAAAATCAACATGTCTTGACATTCAATTTTATCATGTTGAATATGGTCCAGTAGCATAGTGGCAATGCACCAGAATGCATTGTACCGTTCTATAGTCTCAATTATTCTAGGCACCCTTGTTCGACTCAAAGCTGGACTATCACTTTTTTTTCCTATTACGGTGCCCCGTTTTGATCCGAGTTTTCAACCACAATGATCCGTAACGGCCCACATACTTATTGTTTCGCTTAGGTAGGCATTTTAGATTAATTTTTAGAATGACAGGGTGCTGTTTATAAGTCCCGAGCAACTGAAAGCCGGTTGATAATTCTGGTTTGTAAACAGATTCAGACCTGTTTGTAACCATGTTTATAAATATGCGGCCAAATCGGGGGGCTCAAATCGTCAACGATAGAATGGAGGTGAGGATCGTATTCCATTTGGTGGGCAGTTGAGAACACCTTCTAATGAATTGCCCTCATCAGGAATACTACGCTGGTATCAATTGAATGAATTGAAGGCGAACGTTTGAAGATGAGAGTCACTTTGGACATCGTATGTCGACCGGATGAGGAGTCGGTTTTGTAAACCTTTTGTAAGCCAATTGTGAGCATTGAAATAAAGACAGTGCGTTCTCATATTCCGTCTCGAGCGGGAGGAGGAGGATGTATTACTGCGGTGGTCCCTAAAAGGAACAAACAGCCGGAGTAGTGAAGGAAAGACGAAGCTTAAAGAATGTGTGAGTATATTATAGAGGGTCCAATTGCTCTAAACTGTGACAGGATAAGCAAAAGCCGCGGACCTAGTCCTATACTTCCCCTCGTCGTCCATCGAGTCGAGCCACTCATTCACCATATGCACTTGGACATTTTCTGCCTTTTTTACCGTGCTCGCGGGAGAGCGTCCTTGGCTGCCCGAAACAGCGGTGGTGGACGGGATGCTTCGGTCTTGCATGCGGATGGCAGCAGCGTTTCCCTTTCGATGAAATATTCAGAATGTCGAGTGGACTACGTTGGAACGAACAAACCTCGGAGTTGCAGTTGATGATGTCATTCATGTTGTTGAGTTCCGCCCGGGCGTTTAGAGTATGGAGGAGCGTCTGTGGGTAAATTAGGATTCGGGTTTAGCTGAATATTCCGCAGAAAATTCCTCACATTCGTGTAAATGCGTCCGATGGGGAACGCAAACATGGCGTACAAATTGGTATTGCGAAAGAAAGCGAAAGAAAACAAATCCCCCAGAGCAAAAGCAGATGCAAAGAGACCTGAAACGACAAGCCGATGAGCCTCTGGAGACATTGATTGGCATTGACGTACCAGTTTCGATAGCCCCACGGACTAGGCGGTTAATGATTGTGTCCGTCCTACGGAAACCGGTTTTCGAACGTACAAGGGCCGTAATGAGCGATCCTGCCAACATAATGAATCTTAAGTAAGGCCGCCAAAATCATCTACGAAACGCAAACGAAACGTTTCACTGACCAGTTATCAGGAAATCTGCGAATGATTGGAAAGCAAGCCAGCTTGAAGCCAGTCCATCTACGGTCAGCGTACCCGCAGAAGTACACAAGTGGGACGTACAGGCTCACATATGGGACAATTTTCCCGAATTTCGCGACTCTGTTGAATTTGTTAGTCAACGTACATCACAATCAATCATGAATCGTGACGTGCTCTTTTATGATACCCGACATTATACCCGCAGTAAAGGCAAATACCAAGGCCACAACGCTCGATGTGCAAATTATGACCACCAGAATCTTGCTCTTGGTTAACAACCACACTCTGCCGACTGCTCGTCACTCTCCCTCTAGATCAGTTGCGTTTGCGGCGCACCTGTGTACAAGGAACAGTTGGGTGATTATCGCAGCGATAGCAGTGGCTACCGCAGTAAAGGATAGCGTCCAGCTGACGTCTAAAGTAGCTGATCTTAGCACACAGAATGTAGATGCCGCGATGGAAGCATACTTACAGGCGAGGCTGCCGAGATTGCCATAGTTTTCGACTCTGTTCAGTATAGATTAGTATAGAGTCGATATGGGAAAAATATGGCACACACCCCATCTCCCAAACGGCATAAAATTCTCTGGAATACTGCGATTCAATACAGGAAGCCAAGAATGAACATGGGCACGCACACTGCACTATGAACTGTGTCTGTGAGCAACAGCGACCAGACCACAGCTCTGTGTGTTACGTTAATAGGAAACACTAACGAAAAATATAACTGCACATGCCTAATCCACAAAGGATCGTTGAATTCTAAGGCAAATAACATTTAGAGCAGAGTTGGCGGCTGACAAAAAGGAGAGAAATAACTGGTGTTGAAGTACGTCAGAAACTGGGCCAGAACGAGGCCATATAAAAAGGTATTGAACAAAAGTCCAAGATAATAGACACCTTGACCCGCCAGGTAATCAATAGAGCGCAAGGCAGTGATTACCAGAACTGACCAACTTCCATGCCTAGTTGAGCCATGAGGAAATGTTTAGAAGTTGGTGGGAGCAGGAAAGTGGGGGAAATAACCGCAGGGTTTCAACCTTACTCCGACAAGTTATATATACAGTCTGAACCGAACTTGACCGGCGTCCAATGCCAAATGCCGGGAGACCGTAAGTTGCGTTCCCTGGACGTTTCCGGCCCTGGTCAATTAGCAAGAATGTCATAAAGACCGGGGGCGATCGAGCAGCCGTGCGACGAGGAGCCAGGATTTTAGTAGCAGTCTGTACGTCGATCTCGGACCGGGAAGCGAAGGCCGTCGGAGGATATACCAAACCCGACCGTCCCGCACTTTCTTTATACGGAAGGCGACACTGCCGGCTACCGCAACGGCCATCGTTCCGGCAGGTTTTCGGCACACTGGGGAAGGCTCCCCCAGGCCCCTCCCCTTCGCTAGCACTGCTGGTGCGCGGCCCTTTCGCTGGCTTGAGGCCTTTTTATTTTATTCTATTTTAATTTTTTTCGGCTCATTCCGAATTTTATGGCATGCGGCGGGAAGTGAGCAATTTTTTAGACAAGATTCGGCAGGGAAATACCGGTCAATACCGGCAGCAATTACCGGGCCCTGTTGGACTTTAAATGTTACCATTCCTGCTGCCCTACGTAAAATGTGTGCCGGTGAGCACACTTTTCTGGTTTGCGAGGCGGTGCGCGAATAGCGGGGTAAATTTAGGTCAGGTTTAAAAAAAGCGTAGACTGATGGCAGAATCGGATAAGAATCGGGGGTGATCGGAGTCGGCATATTCCGTGATGACTCCTATCTGTGCTTCAAGTCTACGCATCCAAAATGAGCCTGGACGATGTTACCTCTCCTGTAGACTCGTTACCAGTCTGTAACCAATTGGCCGAAAATGTGGCAGGCACTTCGGTGGTTACAACACCGAAGCGCCTGCCGCATTTTTTTCGGATTCGTTTACAGACTGGTAACGAGTCTACCTCTCCTGGGCATTACCTGGAACTTTTATATGTCAACTTCCACAGTTTGGTTATTTCTCTGCGATGTAATAGATTATCAACGGTTCATTGAAAATGTTTATTTGCTAAAGAGGTGTTTGCCTGCGGCATATTTTTTCGCTCGCAACATACATTCATTTAGCACTAAAAAGTGAAATAACTTGAAGCTGCATTTGATCTAGGTACCCTCGAGTTTGAACTGCAGCAGGCTACTATCCATTGGAGATCACAGCAGTGGGTTGGAAAACCCCAGCAGTCGCGACCGGCGCCGCAATCAGTGATAAAAATTGTGAGCATTTGGGAGTTAGAAATACCGAGAAATACCGGGCCTCGGTCATACTGGTGGTACGGCGGGGTATGGCGTCCGGTATGGTCGGGCGGAACTTCAATGCGGCAAGGCTGGCATGACATTGGCCACTGGTGTAAATAGATGTTCATAGAGGCGGGAAGTGAGTTAGATGGCGTTCGGATGCGTCGGGAAGGTACGTGAAGATGATGCAAATAATATTTTGAAGCACATAAATGAAAATAAAGGAGCTGTGAAAAGAAGGAATATAAGTCAAGTATGTAAGGCGGATGCTCAACGAGTAGGTGTCTGCCAGTGGTAGTGGTGCACCGTTCCGGCAAGTTCAAGTTCCCGTCCCGTGTGTTAGCGCATGTCCCATTCTTCGTCATTTGCTGCCTGCATTGGGTGATCGTCGCCCACTCTCTTCGTTTCTTCGATCGGTTAGCTGCTGTGCTTCCTTTTTAAATCTACCTCTTTGGGGTTACCACTGGCAGGTCATCTTGTTTGTGCGCAGGTATGAAAAGGGCAGAGACTTTTTGTCCCCCAAACTCAACGCTATCAAATCAACGTGAGAAGTGGCACATACTTAGTTGTGGGCGGCATGTATTTACTGCGGGGGGCTCAACTTTTTTTGTTTCATTTTTGATTAAATCTGACCTAAAATAAATGTCCCATTCTCCGTCATTTGCTGCGGTGATCATCGACCACTTCCTCCGTTATTTCGATCGGTTAGCTGCTCTCACCATCCGTAGCCAGAAAGCCTTGTCGCCGCCGCCACCCGTTCAAGTCGTCGATGATGAGTTTGATATCATCAAGACGTAAGCTTCTCAATGTGAAAACACTCAAATTAAAATATTCCGCGCATTGGTACTAGGCCTGGTCAATGCCGCCGGACACGCTTTTCCCGGTCGTATCAGAAATCTGTGCGCATCTCGACGCCGCGGATGACAACATGTATATGCCGCTCATTTGCAGTGCACTTCCTTCCGAGGGTTTACCTGCTGAATTCCCTTTAATTTCCTCACTGATTAGTCTACTATTTCGACCTAATGTTCATCAATTTCAGAATTTTCACTGTCTGGGATGGCCAATAAATTCTCTCTTGCGTCAAGGGCAACTTCCAAAAACATAAAGGTCACTCGTCACCTTGGTCAAAATAAGGTAGTCCAGGACCTGCACTTCCACAAAGCCAAGCATTCGATCCTACTATTTTGAGTTTGTGGACATGTCTGAATGGTAAGT